TACCAGTTTAATGTTGAATATTATTTATGATTTTAACTTTATACACAAGTGCCAAAATACTATAAAGACAATTCTGTTAGTTTAAAGAAGTAACAAAGAAGTGTAGAAGTTAAAAATCCCTATCACCATCTCAACCATTTAGAGCAAGCAAACAGTTCTCACCAGGCATGATATCTAAGTACTGGTTCAATAATACATGAAGTGTAAGTTTTTCCAGACTCCCATTGTTAGTATTTATCTGCATAATTCTTGTGTACCCTAAAAGGACTACCACACGAGCAAGAGAACATCTTGACACATTTTTATATGTTACCAACAAAAAAAAAGAAAAATGGACCCTTCTGTCTACATCTTCGAGTCACTTGTTTAGGATTTTAAAACTGTAAAATGTATGATTTGAAATTTGTATAAATAATTAAAAAATAAACAAGGTTTTATCTATTTTAACCATCTGACTAGTTTTTAGTTATACGCGTAAAATGGAATTAAATACAAGTCTGAAATACACTTTTAACTATACTTAAAAATTAAAGTATACATTAATAATAAAGTTGAATATGGTTGATAAGATAGAAAATATTTTTTATTTACAAGAACTTCAAACATTTCAAAATTCAAATTTCTTCTGTATAAACACTACAATGATGATACATTTTTGCTGTTGCAAACATCTAATTATGTTACTAAATTCTTGCTTACCTGAACTCCCAACACCCTAGTATCAAGTTCACACCTGAACTCAAAAAAGGATAGGGAATCCTCAATAGCCATGGCACTTGAAATTCTTTTAGGCAGGATTATAATAAATTAATCTAAGAGATCCTTTTTATTAGCTATATTTTTGTGCGCCAGTGGAGTGCACATATACCTGATTTAATTTTATTACTCATCAGGATCTCTACCAGCCTACCCTCAAATTTAAATAATTGTAGGCAGGATTAGAGTAAATTAATTCATGAGACCTTGGGTGTGGTCAAGTATATCAGTAGAAATGGTTTGTCATTCTGAGTCCAAAACTGTACTTAGATCTCAAATTGGTGAAGAAATGACAGAGCTATGAACTAAAAGTTTGTACTTGAAAAAAAACTAAGAGCCATTCTATGAGCCACTGGATCCTTACCTTTTCTTATCATGAGGATTAATAAAGAAGATTAACATTTTTCTGACTCTTGTTTTCGTAAAAAGACTTTTACAAGCCTTTACACTAATTTTAAAAACTTTATCCCAACCTCTTCAAATGCAACCAAGTCATGTCACTTTTAAACCAAATTTTTAATCTCCACTCTAATTACTCTATTTTACACAAAGAAATTACACTTCTGCACAAAAACCTGCTAAACAATGGCTAATCAACATAACCCACAAACTTTCCAAATAAAAAACAACCCTTTTCCTTGATAAAAAACCTTCAACTCACCAAGTTCAGCCGAGTCTAATATCTAGTATGTACAGTTAGCCTAGACAATAAATACTTCTACAGTCATATACACTGATGAAACAAAATGTCACTTAAATCTGGGAACATCCAATAGGACTGACCATCCATTACTTGAACCCAGCCATCGAGCTATTTGTTCATATAGTGAAACTAATGATCACAACCTTTCATATAACAACTTCTCTATAATTATGAAATGGTCTTCAGACCTTGAATCCCGCATGAAAGAAAGTTTACTCGTAGCAAAAGAACACCTAGCTCTTAATGACTTACAAATGTCCTTAGACTTAAAATTATTCTAAATAGCTTCATTTAACACTAAGAATAATTATATTCATAACTTAATGCCTCATTCAACTTGTAATTTTGCTGCTTTCATAACATGTTCTATCACCTATACTTCCTTCCATTTACTTCTTCATTGAACATTTTAAATAAGTTACTATAACGTTACTTAACAAATATAAATATATTATTATTTCCAAATTTTGCTGAAGATCGAATAAGTGTATTCCAAAATGTTTGAAGCTTTTGATTATAAAAATGTTTTTTGTCTTATGAACCGTCTTCACCTTTATTATTATACTTTGTTCTCCCCATCATTAATCCATTGCCAGAGCATGAACTCTTTCATTAAACTTAAAAGCCCTACCCACTGACAGGTTGAATAATTAACAATAGAGGTTTTTCCCAAATCCTGAGGATATTTGTGTTTGATGCAGATAATCCTTTTCAGGAAGAAAAATGATAATGAAGTAGCTTTTTACCACCTGTCATTCAACAACAAACTTTTAGACTTAATGTGTGGAAATTTTATATCTTTAATCCTACAACTGACAACTTTGTTTTCTTGTCACGCTATATTTCTTTTTGTGAATCATTAATTACCCTTGTTTAGGTATTCATTTATTCTAACCTATTCCTTTTATATGAAGTAAAAGAAACGAAAAACAGATTGGTATCTTATAAAGATTTTCCTAAAACGAAGTTATCTGAAGTTTAACTCATTAGTTCCAGTCTGTCAACTCTTTAAAACTTATCACTACATGCAGTAATCAATTTCCAATTTAAATGGAATCCAAAGTCCACAAATGAAGAACCTGATTAATTACTAAAAATACTTCAAAAAATAAACTTATCCTTATTATATTTTAATAGAATATTCTGCTTCCTTAAAAATGGCACACAATTTAACCAAAAAAAGGTTTTCTAATACTAATTTTCTTGCACAATTCGGAACTAAACAAATTTCAAATTCTCAATAAATAAATGAGCTGTTGATTCTTTAGTTACTTGTTCGTTGTCAACTTACAAATAAAGCCAAAAACACGTGTAACAGTAAGTTTCAGCCAAGCTAAGTTATAGCTCTAGTAATGTCTATTCTGAACACCCAGATGGACTGAGAGAAGAAATTATTTACAAAACCACCAGAAGAAAAAAAACATAAAGCTTTAAATACATAAAAAGCTATGAAAGAAACAATCAAACTAATTTTACAATTATCTCAATATTCTCACTTTAAAATTCTTTATACCAAAATAAAGTAAAATAAAATTGGGGTTAATGTAAATGCAGGTTTCTTAATTTTGTTTGTCTCAAAAAAGATGGGAAAGAAGGCTGTGCTTACAATCTACATAAAGCATATCTTCAAGTACTGCTATTAAACTAATGGTAAGTAATGAGAATTTTATAGTGCCACCAGCTCAAGAAATGTCTATCCAGTGTTCACTCAAGGCACACCAGTGAAAGGAAGATCGGATTTCAAGCAGTAAGTGTGAGTACAAGATACAAATACATATGGAACCTCCAGCTGCATCATTCAAATCATAGACTCTATCTGCTATTAAAAGAACAGCTAAAGAAAGCTGGTTTGGTTGATACAATACCAAAACATGTGAATATAAATTTCATAACAAACTAAGAAAAAAGAAATTACAGTTGGATGCAAAAGAACAAATAAATTAATCTAAGGCAATAAAAAAAAAGTCCAAGCATCAAGTTTACTGAGCTTTATATAGTAATTTAAACCAAAAGCCACACTTATTTTTACAAGAACAGTTATTTATAATGTTACACAACATACTGTAACTTTTTCATTCACTCCTATCCAAGTGACTAAAGAATGAAAATATATACACACACTCTGTGACTGGTCAGGAAAAACTTCTCATTAAAAAAAGAATCATAACAGGATGGACATTTCTTTGCTGACTGACTCTATCTAAGCCTAAACGTTAGAATAGCAAGTGCTATCACAAAGGATAAAGATCATGCACCTCTATTTTGCGTCCCTCAACCACCGTGCTGTTCAATTGCTCTCGTGCGCGATCAGCATCCGCACTAGTTGCGAAAGTTACAAAACCGAATCCCTGCATGCATAAGACAAACAAGAAAAAAAAATCATGCATTAATATCCGTGCACTTCAACAGAAGAATCCCTGCAAAGACAAATTATAGAGACATTAAAATTCTCAGTGTTGATTTAGGCATCAGTCAGGGTTTCTAAGCCCTTTCAGGCATGCAGCACTTCTCAGTTTGGTGCATAGGTCTTCTCTGTCAGAGCTTCTAGGGCTGCTAAAAATTAAAAAAAGGAGAATTTCTGTACAGAGCTGTTAGGAGCTTTAAGAAAAGAATTGTACAAAAATCTTCAAGACTTCTGTCACAAATCAAATAACCTTTAATTGTTTTATTCTAAACATTTTTCACTGCTATTTCAATAAGGAAAAGTGAACTAATAAGCTGAGTGGAAAAATAAACATGAAACAATTTCTAATCATAAACCTTTTTTTTCATTTGAAGACATTTTAGCTTTCTTTGAAAACATCTGAAAAATGTCAATAAATAAAACACTTTTGGTCATAATCTGTGAGATTGAGAGTTCAGTTGATGTTATAAAGTTACAACAGGTATTATATGCAAGTACTTCAAAGCATCAGTGTTGATTTGACTTCATGCACTCATGCAGTTCTTCTGAGATGAGGCTGAAAATAACTAGAAATATGTCAAGAGTTGAAGAGGGTTAGTTGAAAATATAAACTAATAAATTCAATGATGACTTCATCCAATTTTTCACTACACAGAAGTTTGAAAAAAAAAGGAGGAGATAATCCTAAGTGTCAGAATAAATTACATGTATTTGCAAGTTCTGTGGTCATCCAATACTTGCCTTGAAGATTATACACTATGGATATACAAATTTGGTTCTCATAAAGGCTATGTCACAATCAACTGGAAAGGAAATAAAAATATTACGTCATCTATACGCAACTTTTTCAAAGAACCTATGCTTGGAAAAGATGTTAGGTAAATCTGAGAAAATAGTATTACGAAGTTGTGCATTCCAATAACCTAATGTTCCATGTTTTATGCTAGTACAGTTAAAATATTAAATTATACAAAAGTTATCCATTTCACACACCAAAATATTTCTATGCTCTTAATCAAGTACGTGCATTACAAAACTGACAAATGTCACTTTCTACACAAATGGTCAAAAGCTGACAATGAAAAACTTTTATTTTTTCAAAATGTGATAAAACTTGATGAAACTTTGTAGAATGGAGAGCAACTGCCTGTTGTAGAGACATAAGTGTAGAGGAGTTTTCTGCCTGAAGATGAAAGGCGGAAGACTTTCAAAATGTCATCCTCTTCACTTATGTCTCTACAACAGGCAGTTGCCATCCATTCTACAAAGTTTCATCATGAATACTCTGCCTAAACAATCTATCGAGGTGATAAAACTTCCTTTAAAACAATTTTCATAGCATATTCCTATCCCTAATACTTATGAGTCAGAGATGTAAAGCACTAATTAAATTTCTTACGTTCACTTTAATGTACCCAGCGTGGTCACAAGT